AAAAGAAAAGGCATAGGGATAGCATCTTAGAGCCAAGCAGGGTTGTTCAAAGGAGTGACAACAGCCTTCACTTGCAGATAATTGCTGAGGCTGTAAATACCCTTTTCTCGTCCATGTCCGCTCATCTTGTACCCACCAAAAGGAATCGCAGCATCAAATATATCGAAGCAATTGATCCACACAGACCCAACTCTCAGAGCACGGGTCAGCCTGTTGGCTGTGTCGATATTTTGAGTAAACACCCCAGCCGCCAGCCCATAGCGACTAGCATTTGCCCTCCTTATCACCTCCTCAACCTCTCTGCAATTACCAAAATAAATAAATAAATAAATCCATCGCGGTTCCATTTCTCATACTAGTTTTCTTCTAACTTACTTGTATTTCAAGATTGTCTGTACAGGACCAAAAATCTCCTCCTGTGCAATTGTCATGTCATCCTAATACAGAGAGAGAATAATGATGTAAGGCACACTAATCTCCATTTCCATGTAAAAATGGCCGTCACAAAACTAAATAAAAGGTAGACCTTGACGTTCGAGAAAACTGTTGGCTGGACATAGTAACCCTTGGAACCAAACCTCTCTCCTCCAGCTTCGAGAGTGGCTCCACCTTCAATCCCAGATTTTATATATTTCAAAATCTTTTTGAATTGTTCGCCGTCCACCTGTGCATGATTTCAGCATGAAAAAAGGCATCCCAAATCATGCTCTACTTCACTTGGACTTCAAAAGGAAATACTAGTAATTCTAGTTCTAGCTCACTCACCTGAGGACCTTGCTCAATTCCACCTAGGAATGGATCACCAACAACGCGGTTTGCAGCTCGTTTCCTTGATTTTTCTAGAAACTCATCGTACACTTTTTCATGAACAAAAGTACGGGAACCAGCACAGCAGCATTGTCCCTGTAAGAGAACATGTGTTTTACTTTTTAATGAAAGATAATCATAACATGTTTTTCTTCATGCTCAATTTTGTTTGACGTACCTGGTTGAAGAAGAGAGCAAAGTGTGCCATCTCGACAGCCTTATCCACATCAGCATCCTCACATACAATGAAAGGGGATTTTCCACCAAGCTCCAAAGTTACTGGCTTCAGATTGCTTTTTGCAGCTAGTTCAAGTACAATCTGCCCTGTTTCGGTTGATCCAGTAAAAGCAAGCTGGGAAAACAAAAGGATCATAGTGACGTGTTTATTGTTCTTCTTTGCATCAAATTTCTTAATTTTCTCTTTTCAAGAAAGAACCCATCTACACAAGTAACTTGCACATCTTGTTGTTTTATAAGGTTCTACCCTGCAAAACACAGGAGCAACGCCAAAAATTTGGGCGCCAAAGTAATGCAAGAGTTGCGCAATAATGTGATAAAGTTAAAAGCAGTTATACATGGGTGAAAGAACAGAGTACCTTATCAACTTCCATATGACTGGCAAGAGCAGCACCAGCAGTGGGTCCATAACCGGAAACAATATTGAGAACGCCCGCAGGAAGTCCAGCCTGCCATAAAAAGATATAACTGGAGTTTTATACAATGTAGTTTTAGGAATTGAATTACGAACTCGACTCAAATAGCCTAAGCCTGTGTGAAGAAATAAATAAGAGTTTTAATTGGCCAATCACCTCATGCAATAGCTTAGCCACATAGATAGCAGACAAAGGTGTCTGCTCGGCTGTCTTCAGAACAATAGTATTCCCACATGCTAATGCTGGACCAACCTTCCAAGCAAACATGAGCAGAGGAAAGTTCCATGGAATAATCTGACCCGCAACACCAATTGGTTCGTGCAAGGTCTGCACATGATACGAGCCATCAGCTGGAACTGTGAGTCCGTGTATCTTATCGGCCCACCCTGAGGTAAGTGCAGTCAAATTAATTGACACATTGATTGTTTGGCTAGGTCGCACAGGGCTAAAAGCCTAGAAGGCCAAACCTCGACTAGACAGACGTACCCGCATAATATCGGAAGAGGCGTACAAACATTGGGACTTCCAATTTGGCTGACTGTTCGTATGTTTTCCCATTGTCCCAAGTTTCGAGTGCTGCAACTTCATCGGCATGCTTCTCAACCAAATCGGCAAATCGCAAAAGTATCTTTGACCTTTCCTGCCGATGAGTAAATCGATTATTATTGGCGGTTGAGTGGAGGAGGATCAAATATATGGGACAGATTAAATAAGGCAATATATGAACTCACATAAGCAGTCATTCTAGGCCAAGGCCCATCATCGAATGCCTTGCGTGCAGCAGAAACTGCAAGGTCAATATCTCTGGCGTCACCTTCAGCAACATTCGCAATGACTTCTCCAGTCCTTGGGTCCAGTGTAGGAAAAGTTTTTCCTGAATTTACAGAAACAGCCCATAATTAAAATGGCTACCTTCTGAATCAGGGAGAGACACGTCAGTTACCTGAAACTGAATCCACAAACTGTCCGTTGATTAGCAGCTGGGTATAATTTACTTTCACAGATGGAGTAATTGGATCCTCAACAGCAGCGGAGGTGCTATATTTGCCAGTTGTTCTGCCACCGGAAGGCCTCCTCCCTGATCACGATAATTCCAATCCGCCATTAGCAGTTACCAATTCATTAAAAGTAAAGAATTAAACGCCTGCTATTTACTAAGAAATAGATATCGGAATCTTCATCAAATTATGTCACCGAAATCCCAAAGGAAGTCACAAATAAAAAAGTTATGAAGGATCTAAAGAAAGCTATAGTAAAATAATGATCCACAATGACAGGGGGACATAAAATTCCACACTCATTAAATCCCCACAAATAGAAAAGTGGGTGATCCCTTCATACGCTTCACGGACTTGTCAAAGATGGAATTTTTCAACGAAAAGAGATAGAAACTCAGTACTGATTGGCCCTTCTTAATTGATCGACCTCACGGTTTGCGGATTGTAAAAACAGAGATCAAAGGAAGGGCTCATCAAAATCTTAAATTTAGAACAGATAGAGAGAATAACAGACATCATGAGCGATGGAAAAACAAAAAGATGGCGTGTCTTCCTTGGTGTTACCTTTGGAAAGGAGAGCAGGTGAAGAAGCAAGGGAACGAGATATGAGCGAGGATATCCTCCGAGCCGCCATGATTGCGAAGAAGCACAAAAAAATCTGTCTATTTTAGACAGTGAGAACCTAATCCACTCAATGAGACGCTGGGGGAGTGGGTGTTGGAAGGATTGATTTTGCACTGTGTTGTGATGGCTTGGATATAAGTGATTAAATATAGATAATTTCAGGGTGTTGCAAGGATTGATTTTGCACTGTGTTGTGATTGGCTTGGATATAAGTAATTAAATATAGATAAGCTCTGGGTGTTGCAAGGATTGATTTTGCACTGTGTTGTGTTGGCTTGGATATAAGTAATTAAATATAGATAAGGTCTGGGTGTTGGAAGGATTGATTTTACAATGCGTTGTGTTGGCTTGGATATAAGTAATTAAATATAGATAAACTCTACGTATTGACTCCCAAGGGTATCCAATCAACAAACAGTTCAAACTGGCAAAAATATCGCGATTTCCGAGAAAAAAGGAATAAAAAAACTGGCAAAATATCTTCAAGTCTGAAGTGTGTCCCCTTTCTCGCCTGAAGCTCACACTTTCTGGGCGCATGTGGTTGGAGGAGAATCGAAAGGACAGCACAGCAGAGATGGGATGGCCACCAACGCAATCGACAATAGACAGTGGAATCAAACTTGAGAAACGCAAGGATGCGGATGGGGATGGGGATATGGGGATATGGGATGTGGGGCTACAACTTAACTTTAAAATAAATATTAGATATTAAATTAGAAAAATATGAGAATAGTGGGTGGCATGGTGGAAACTAAAACTAGAGGGACAAGCTCAAGTGGGGGAGAAGTATGATCTGAAAACGGATCTTAAATCTTTCTGAGGGTTGAGCCAGAAATGGAAACGTGTAATGGTCAAAAATTCATGGAGAAGAGGTGTGGAGATTAAAAAATTGTAGAACTATTTTTAAAAAATACAGGCAATTGTAATTATTTGAATGGATTGAATTTATTTTTTTATTTAAATCTTGTCACTTTTTTTTATAAATATTTTAAAGAAACTTTCGAGTTGATATTTTTTAGAATGACATAATACCTGTATCTGATTTGCTTTATAATCCTTTCGAAAAGCATAACTTACAATAATAGAGGGGTGAGAAGGTACTGCTTCAATACTATTCTGAATTTTTTGTAAGAAAACAAGTATTCCAACTTTTTGCTGAAGTTGCATCTGTCCAATAAGCATAACTTACAAAAATAAAAATAAAAATAAAAAAAGTAATTATTTATATTACAAATTCCTTATACTGCGTTATACCTAAAATAGTCATGTGATGTGAAAGGCATAGAAGTTTTGACATTTTCCACACAAAAAGAAAAACTCCAACTTTAATATTTTTTATAAAAAATAAATGATTGATGTGTTTTTAAAAAGGAAAAAACTTAATTAGAAGGGTACTTTTCAAACTCTAAACACAATCTAACATAGATAACGTCTTATTTTCTAAACTTTTGAAAGATATGAATCCCATTTATTAATTCACCACAAGCCCAACTTAGAAAGCCCAAAGCCCACCCTTAACTCCCTTAACCCTAGGTTTCAAAAATTGATAATCCTAACTTCTATCTTCTTCAAACAGCCCTAAACCTCTCCCCTCTCTCTCTCTCCTCCTCCTTTTCTCTCCCTCTCTCCCTTTCTGTTCAACCCTTTCTACGCCGCCCCCCGTCACCCTCTTTCGGCTATCTCCGCCGCCGCCCTTCCCTCTTTAAAACTCAATGTAACGGTATTTTTATAACTTCTTCAAATGTCAAAAGCATTAATACAACTTTTTTAAATTAAAAGAGTATATTGAAATGAGGTGGTATAATTTAGCAATTTGATCATCTATTATTTTCATAGCCCAAGAGGAGGTCGATGATATTTGAAAGGAAATTGAAAGAGAGATATTTGAAAAATCCCAATAAATTGAGAACCCTATCATTTTATGTGTCCTCCCCCTGCTAACTGACACGCTTTACGAGAGTTCGGTGTCAGCAAAAAATGAAAGGGGGAAAGTGCTCCAATATAAAAGCTTAAAAGATGCGTCCTTTTTTAGCAGATTCGCTGCTTGTGAGCCTCTCAATCTTTTTTTCATAACAAAGCAGCCGACCCCACCCTCTTAGTTCCGGGGCGTCTTGCTCCTGCTCGAAGGGCTAACGACCAAGCGGCTCCCTTTAGTCTTATCTTTCCCTTTTGCCCACACAGGATTACCAACGCATGGCTTCCGATAATTCTTCTGCCTCAGCCTCAGATTTATCTGTCAAGAGGTCGAGGGACGAAGACCAAAATGGAACTCCACCCTCTTCACAACCTGATTCTATTTCTTCCGTCATCCCCGGATGGTTCTCCGAGATCAGCCCAATGTGGCCTGGTGGGTTCGCCACTACATCTCGCTCCTCTTACTTAATATGTGTTTATTCCTAAGTAATCGTTCCTTAGTCATCGACAGTTTTGGAACTCATTCACTTGTGCCTTCTCTGCTTTCGTAGTGTTTTGGCTTATCTGATTTTAACTTTCTCTGGTGAGTTGGTTGAAATATCATCACTCCAAGCACAATCAATGATTTGGCAAGCCCTTCTATATTTATTTTGGTAGAGATTTTAGAAAAATTACCTCAAAATTTTAAGAGAATGAGATTTAAATATTTTAGAAAAAAAGATTCAGATTTGTTGATCACATTTGTTAGGTCGGATTGTTTAGGCTCTAGTATAAATATCCCTCCACCCTAAGTAGATTATTCATCCAAAAACAACAAAGAGTATTCTACATAGTGTCTTTGTATCCTCTTCTCGATTGGTCTTAATAAAGAGTGCGAGTGTTTCCCACAGAGTTGTTCAACAATTGGTATCAGAGCAAAGTTAGTGTATGTTATTTGATCTCTTGGAATTTTTAGTATGCTCTGTGGTTGCAGCTCTATCTGATCTTCCACATCAAAAACGATTTCTTGAGATTAGTAGTGAGTGAGTTTTTTTTTGTGTCGTGAGTAGTCTGTGACTCTGCAAGTCTTATGTCGAAAGTGCTTGTTTGGTATGGCCAACACGATGGTTGATTTTCAAATCGTTGGAGGAATCAAGAAACTCAACAACAACAACTACAACACGTGGGCAACATGCATGATGTTCTATTTACAAGGACAGGATCTTTGGGAGATCGTTGGCAGGTGTGAAACTACGCCGCCAGAGGAGGATTCTAACGGCGCCTTGCGCAAATGGGGAATCAAAGCAGGCAAAGCAATGTTTGCCTTGAAGACCACAATCGAAGAAGAGATGTTAGAACATATTTGGGATGACAAGACACCGAAAGAAGCATGAGACACGTTCGTAATGTTGTTCTCAAAAAAGAACGATACGAGGCTACAACTTCTGGAGAATGAGTTGTTGTCAATTACACAACGTAACATGACGATTGCTCAGTACTTCCACAAGGTCAAATCGATCGGTTGGGAGATTACTGAACTAGACCCGAAGTCTACCATTGTAGAATCTCGAATGAAGAGGATTATAATCCACGGATTGCGACCGGAATATAGAATGTTTATTACTGCTATACAAGGATGGCCCACTCAATCATCACTTGTAGAGTTCGAAAATTTGTTAGCCAGCCAAGAAGTCATGGCTAAACAAATGGGAGGCATCACATTGAAGGGTGAAGAAGAAGCACTCTACACAAGTGAAAGTCGAAGCAATAATAGGCCGTCTACCAAATGTGGATACAATGGTGACAAAAGAAGAAGTTACCAAGGAACTTCACAACCCGAGAGAGCTCAGAAGAACGACAACAAGAGTTTCCAAGGAAAAAGATTTGAAGGTATTTGCTATAATTGCGGGAAATAGGGTCACATGTCTAGAGATTGTTGGTCCAGGAAAAAGTCGGTTGAAAGCAATGTGGCAATATCCAAAAAGAAGATAGAGGATGAATGGGATGCAGAGGTACTATGTCCAATAGTAGAAGACGAGCTAGCACTCATGGCAATGATGAAAGAGCATATCGATTACGAGGATGACTGGATCATTGATTCAAGATGCTTAAACCACATGATTGACGATCAAAGCGATGTAATGGAAGAGGGGTGGCCCTCAGAGAAGAAAGTATTACCAGGCCTTGAGCAAGCTGAAGAAATTCTTTTATAGAACACAGAGGAGCAAACAGAAGAAATTCTTTTATAGAACACAGAGGAGCAAACAGAAGAAATTCTTTTACAAAACACATAGAAGCAAACGGAAGAAATTCTTTTACACAACACAGAGGAGCAAACGGATGAGATTCTTCCACAAAAGACGGGGGAGCAAATTGTACACATTTGCTTAAGTGCTGATGTGCCTGAAGATTCAAGTGACACTAGTGTTGGTGAGCAAGAAGTGACTCAACTAAGCGAGCCTAGTGAAAATGAAATGACACCTCAACAACTCAGAAATTCAGAAATAATCCTAAAGGCAAATCCAGAGTATGCCAACGCAGTAGAAGACGAAATTAATGAGCTGGAGACATATGAAGAAGCATCACAAAACTCAGCTTGGCAGAAAGCAATGGAGGTAGAAACTATAGCCCTGGAACAAAATTAAACTTGGGAATTAGTGCCAAGACCAAGAGATATTAAACTCATCTCTTACTAGTGGGCTTACGAAATAATGTGTACCCCGGATGGATCAATCATGAGATACAAAGCTCAGACTATAGATTCAGGGTTCTCTTAAGAATATGGACTAGACTATGATGAAACATTTAGTCCAGTGGCAAAGATCATTATCGTAGAAGTTCCTCCAATACTTACGGTAAATAAAGATTGAAAATTATGACAGATGGATATGAATAATGCTTTCTTGCATGGAGAGTTAAACAGAGAGTTCTACATGAACCAACCAAAGAGATTCGAAAATGAAGTTGGAGTCATTGATCAATATATGCAAAATCCGAAGAAGCCTCATTTGGATGTGGCTCGATGGACCTTGAGATATGTCAAAGGTACAATCAATTACAATCATTTATACAAAAGAAGCGAAGACTGGAAGCTAGCTAGATATAGTGATGTCGACTATGCAGGAGACCACGATACCTGAAGATCAATCACTGAGTATGCGTTCAAGCTCGGTTCGAGAACAATTTTTTGGTGTAACAAAAGACAACCAACAATATCATTGTCAACTAGAGAAGCAGAGTACAGAGCAGCAGTTGGAGCAGCTTAGGAAAATACATAGTTAAAACATTTGATGGAAGATTGGCACCAGAAAATTGAGTATCCAATACCACTTCATTCCAACAATCAATTTGTGATTCGTCTAGTAGAAAATTCGGTTTTTCATGGTAGAACAAAGCATGTAGAGGTACGCTACCATTTCATTAAAGAGAAAGTTTTGAAGGAACAAATCGAGATGCAGCAGATCAAGACAGATGACCAAGTGGCAGACTTATTTACAAAAGGGCTGAATATTGGCAAACATGAGAGTTTTCGCTGTCAGCTCAACATGGTGCAGCGAATGAGGAAGATGCTATTTAAATGCACGAGCTTATATTTAATCGGTATTCTAAGCCCAACTTTATGTTTTCCGCTGGTTTCTGTCACTTGTTCTCTGTTTAAAATTTATGTTCTTCTATGGCGTCGTTTCATTTGGTTGCTAACAATTGCTATTGTAGGCTCAGCTTAAATTATCGATATGTTTAGTCTTAAATAATAGGTTTATTTCCCCTTTTCTCTTTGCGAAGGTCCATTTTGCTTCGCACATTCTCTTCGCAAATGGTATCATTCTTGGTTGTTGGCAAGCTTGGATGGTGGGTTATGCCACTGTATTTGTATTGACTCCGTTTGATGTGAGTTTTCTTTTTGTGTTGACTGCTGTATATCCTTTCATTTACTCTATTAGAGTATCTTTTTTAATAAGAAAAAAAATGATAAATTTTTGTTACGAAATAAGCAGGATAAATATGCTGTGAACTTGTCCATGACGGTATCACTTTTTTTCTTGTCCGTACTTATAACTTGAAAATATTGTGCAGGAGAGGCACATTCATTGAAAGTAGAGAAGATTTTATTTCGAGGGAATTCTGACTATCAGGATGTTATGGTCTTTCAGGTGTGAATTACTTGAGCATTGTAATATTTCTTCTTTGGCTTGTTATTGATTCTATTCCAACTGTTTGCTGCGCAGCATTAGAATGGTGGTTTGGCTGAAATTGAAACCCCAGATTCAATCCATGGTCGGGAGGAGTTGAGAACCTTTCATGTGATATATAACTGACATATATTAGTATTGGTAGTTGGGAGTTTTTTCTCTTCTTACATCTAATTCCTTGAAATTTTGTGGCCCAGTGGAGTGATTGGTTTTATGCTGTGCTCTACCGAGGGACCTGCTGTTGATTTCAAACACCCGATAAATTCAATCGATGTTAATGATATTAACAACAAGTCTAGAGGGCCCTTGAGATTTTAGAATTCTGAGGTTTGTACCATAATCTTGTTGGGCGTTTTTGTTTATGAAAAAAGATTTTACAATCCTCATTTGGTTAGAATCATAAATTTGAAATCCAGATTCACACGGCAGCTTTCTGTTTGCCATCTTTCGCCAAGAAGGTTATTGATTCAAGAGTAAAATGAGGATTGAATCGGGGGAGTAGGTTGTGGCTCTTCATTTTGAACCAAATGCCTTGTCTACCCCGACACTGCAGATCAACCAAGGCATTTTCCTTCTTTAACTTTCCCTTATTCAGCAATTCAGTTGTTCTATTATTCTGCTGCTGCTGCTTAATACAATACGACTTTTTCGCCCATAGCATAGCCCTTTGTTCATAAATTGAATTCAGAACGTGGATGTTCAAATGGGAAGTCCTTTGTTGATAAATTGAATTCAGAACATGGATGATTAAATAGGAAGTTCTTTGTTGATAAATTAAATTCAGAACATGGATGTTTACCTTATTTTTTTTGTAAATAGTCATTCACACTTTTTCTTCTCACAAACTTTGGATCTATATTCAAGTTGGAGCAAAAACAAGTTTATAGAATATTATAGGGATTAGGCACTAGGCAGTGTGTACATATTTATTTGTGTGCAAATGTGTAAATTAAGGCAGTAAAGATGTTATACATTTTTTAAATATAAATTATATTAAAAAAATAAATGAAGCATCTAAATTGTTGATAAATATTTTGTTAGTTGAATAAAACAAGATGAGGAGTTGGAGATTTAAATTCGTAGGCATCCTTGATTTTTTAAAAAAAAAAAATCCACGATAGCAGCACGTCCCCAAAAGACAGAACAAGCAAGGCTTAGTTTTGTTTTCACGTTTTTGGATTGGCAAGCAATGTGTTAGTCATGTGATATACAACGTTCAACCATGTTTATCCCACGAAAAACGTGACGCTCCTACTTCCAATAAAGACAAGTGGTTGTGCGTAATTCTTCCTTCGGATTTCATTCTCTGTCTATTCACCCTTCCTGGTAAATTCTCCTCTCTCTCTCTCCAATTATAAATTTTCTGTAAACGTTTGGAGATGGAAATGGAAATGGAAATGAAATCCAAAATCTGCATGCTTTAGCTTTTGGCCTCTGGCCTCTGGGTGTAATGCTGATTTTGCGACTTTGATTCCTTTCTGGATTTCGATGCTCTTTCTTTTGTTGATTTGCTTTCAATTATTTGTGAATACTTTTTCTTTTTAGTTTCTTTTCAATAACATCATCAATGAGGTTCAGTTGATTTGCTTTCAATTATTTGTGAATACTTTTTCTTTTTAGTTTCTTTTCAATAACATCATCAATGAGGTTCATGTTGGATATCTGTTCTTTCTTCCTATCCCTTTTCAATGTTCTTTCTTAGTTTGCAGCTATTAGGTATCAATATAAATCACATCAATTTTTATTAAGCTAAATTAATAATTAAAAAAAAAAAATCAAAAGTGTCGCTAAATACTCTTAAATAAGAGTTAAAAAATTCATTAAAACTGTAAACATATTTTTAAACTTTGGTTAAAATATGCACGAATTTTTAAAAGTAGTATTAATAACTTTTATCTTAAAAAAAAACTAAAAATTATTTCATCAGTACATGGACAAAATCCTTTTATCCATACTTCAAAAATCATGATTTATTTTTTCCGTTGCTGCTTAACAATTCTTTTTTTTTTTCTTTCCTTGTGTTAAATTATTTTATAATATGTTTGAAAATGAACTCCTTTTCATTTAAAGTTCTAATCGTTTAAGAAGAGAGAAAAAGAATAAGAGAAATGAGAGTTTTGAAGACGGAGAAATGAAAGAATGAGGTTAAGAAGACAATTAAGGAATGAAGGAAGAAAAAGATAAAAGAAAGAGAAAATTGAAGACATGAGGAGTGAACTAAAAAAACATAAGAATTTTTGTCAAAGGTAAGAATTTTGTTTTAAGGCAAAAATATATTATTCATAGTTGTGAAAATTTAAAATTTATGGGTGAGCCAAAATTTGAGGAAAGAAGGACCAACCCCTAGTACGAACTACGAAGAGGGGAAGGCACAGAGGGATGGGGCGCTAGAGCATGGAGCTGGAGGAAGAGGAGTAAGGGAAGGAAAAATGTTGCGTGGAAAATGAATTAGTATTTTTCTTGTATCTTCAGTTGTGTGGGCAGTGTTAATCCACATGTTTTTATGTACGGAATAACTTAGAGAACGTTGAGAAACACAAAACTTGTGACTGCTGAGGCTCCAGTCATGAATGTCATCGAACACCCCAACCAACCCTGCCCTTGATGCATTTCATTCCCGATCCACAAAACTTGTGACTGCTGAGGCTCCAGTCATAAATGTCATCGAACACCCCAACCAACCCTGCCCTTGATGCATTCCATTCCCGATCCACTACCCTCAACTACAACTCCTTTTCCTCCTTATTTTTTCCTAACTGACCTCTTAAATTGTTGAACCACCTATCACCTTATATATAATTAAGAATCTGACTTCCACCTCGTACTTTCGTTTTTCTGATTGCCTCACTGTTTGCTTTACGCAACTGTATAACAACTTGTTATCCACTCATCTACTACCATTTTCGTCTTAAATCCCTTGCGTCTATTATTGAACAGCACTAATTTGTATGCCAAAGTGGTTTCATTTGATCATCATACCTGGTTTCCTCCCAAATAACCATGGTTCATGTCTTCATATGAAGAGCTAGCTCAGACACACAACGCGGATCCGGAAGTAAAAAACAAGTATGTGGCGGCTTAAGATTGCGGATGGAGGGAATGACCCCTACATATACAGCACAAATGACTTCATAGGGAGACAAACTTGGGAATTCGATCCGGAAGCAGGGACACCGGAAGAGAGACAAGAAGTAGAAGAGGCTCGCCTCCATTTCTACCGGAATCGCTACAAAGTCAAGCCTAGTGCCGACTGCCTTTGGCGAATGCAAGTAAGTAAATAAACTAGTGCGTTCTTAACTTCACACTTTACCTTCCCTCACTACACTGACAGTAGCTCCGCGGATGGGGCTACAACCTTTTTTTATGGAGGCCAAAATTTTGGAATCTATATATGAAACCTTCCAATTTTGGTTGAGTTATGATGTTTTGGAAGATGATACAACATGTATTTAAACAATTGGTAGTTCCTGAGGGAGAAGAAGTTCAAACAAGAAATTGGTGCAGTAAAGATAAAGGAGGGGGAGGAAATATCACAAGACAAGGCGAGGATAGCATTGAGAAGAGCAGTTCACTTCTACTCAGCGTTGCAAGCAAGTGATGGACACTGGCCAGCTGAAAACGCAGGACCTTTGTTCTTCCTTCCACCGCTGGTGAGTATAAATCTGTAGGTGCCAGGATATGGAAATGGAATCGGAAATGGAACTGAAATGAATGAAGGGAGTGTGCAGGTAATGTGTTTATACATAACAGGACATTTGGACCAAGTATTCCCTGAAGAACACAAGAAAGAAATACTTAGATACATATACTGCCATCAAAACGAAGATGGTGGGTGGGGATTGCATATAGAGGGCCATAGCACCATGTTCTGCACTGCTCTCAGCTATATCTGTATGCGTATTCTTGGAGAGGGCCCAGATGGTGGTCTCAACAATGCTTGTGTTAGAGGCCGCAAGTGGATTCTTGATCATGGTAGTGTCACCAACATACCCTCTTGGGGAAAGACGTGGCTCTCGGTCAGTATCATTTACACACACGCATTACTACTAATTTCTTCATTCTAGCTAGCTGATTAGTTAGTTAATTATCGTTGATTCAATTCACTGCCACTAGCTTAGCTTACCGTGTAATTACTGTTAAATATCACTAGCCCATTAAGCCACTCATTTAAGAAAATGATTTAGAATTTTAAGAATAAATTTAGAAAAATAATTTAGGAATTTTAGGAATAAATTTATCTAAATAATTTAGATACTTTACAAACGTTGAGAAATTTTAGGAATTGATTACCTATCATGAGTATAAATACCGTCCACCTTACCTAGTTTATCATCCCAAGAAATTTCAATATAAAGTGTAGTAGTTTCTAGAGTGTTTTGTAAATCTCTTCTCGATTGATCTTAATAAAGTGTAGCAGTTCCACCATTAATTAGTTTGCTTGCTGCATGCTTATTTAAAATGAAAACAGATACTTGGTGTTTATGATTGGGCTGGAAGCAACCCAATGCCGCCAGAGTTTTGGTTACTCCCTTCGTTTCTACCAATGCACCCAGGTTTGAATTTTGCGCATGCTGCTCGAGTTCATTGCTCACCTGTAGTCTTATTGATTAAATATTAATTAGTACGTATGAAAATTGGTGCAGCAAAAATGTGGTGCTATTGTCGAATGGTTTATATGCCCATGTCCTACTTGTATGGAAAAAGATTTGTGTGCCAAATCACACCACTCATACAAGAATTGAGACTGGAACTTCACGCCCAACCTTTTGATGAGATAAACTGGAAGAAGACCCGGCATCTGTGTACAAAGGTTCATATAATTTGTTTAATTCAACCTATTTACCTTGTAGGCAGTTACACTACGTGAATGCAAATCTGGATGTGCAGGAGGATGTATACTACCCGCATCCCTTGATGCAAGATCTACTATGGGATAGCCTTTACATCTGCACTGAGCCGCTTCTTACTCGTTGGCCATTCAACAAGCTGGTTAGGGAGAAGGCTCTTCAAGTCACCATGAAGCATATCCATTACGAAGATGACAACAGTCGATACATTACCATTGGTTGTGTTGAAAAGGTAAAGCAATATGCGGTACTCCAAGGTTACAAAATCATATTAATTGAGATTTAGTTTGACGATATTGGAAATGTATCAGGTACTCTGTATGCTAGCTTGTTGGGTGGAAGATCCTGATGGGGATTACTTCAAAAAGCATTTGGCAAGGATCCCCGATTACATATGGGTTGCTGAAGACGGTATGAAGATGCAGAGTTTTGGTAGTCAAGAGTGGGATACGGGTTTTGCCATCCAAGCTTTGCTTGCGGCTGATATGGCAGACGAAGTTGGACCTGTATTAGCCAGAGGACATGACTTCATTAAAAAGTCTCAGGTTAAGGACAACCCCTCTGGTAACTTCAAGACCATGCATCGACATATTTCGAAAGGATCTTGGACTTTCTCTGATCAAGATCATGGATGGCAAGTTTCTGATTGTACTGCAGAAGCTCTGAAGGTACATGCATTGCGCATATAAAAACTAATAAATTCAGCTTAAATGTAGAATCTGCTTTACAAACATCTTATATATGTTGATTAATCTTCAATTGCATGCTCCCAGTGTTGCCTTCTTTTCTCACTGATGCGCCCAGAGATTGTAGGCGACAAAATGGAAGCTCAGAGGTTATACGATTCCGTGAATGTCTTACTTTCTTTACAGGTTAGAAGAAAGGTTAAATTATAGAAAATGTTTCAAGATAACTCTCAAAACATTCGATAATATCGTCACATTTTCAAAATAGTTAAAAATAATATTCTATTTTGTTTAAAAAATATCCTCTTCTTCTAAACTCTCCTAGTCTCCTTCTATTCCACAATCTCCTCCTTCAATTAAGGTTAAAAATGAAAAGAAGAAAAAAAAAAGATCTCTCCACCTATACGTGTTTGATTTAAATTAAATATGATCTCTCTCCACGAAACAAAATCAATATTGTGTATCCGTTTCACGTGCAGAGTAAGAATGGAGGTTTGGCAGCCTGGGAACCTGCAACCGGTCAAAAATGGCTAGAAGTAAGTTATTAAGTAATTTTGTTTGAATGCGATGAATGAATGAATAATGTGAAGACAAGGAAGTATATGATCTGAAATTAATAGAATGGTGTACGGTGCGGTGGCAGATGCTGAATCCGACGGAGTTCTTTGCAGACGTAGTGATTGAGCACGAGTATGTAGAGTGCACAGCATCGGCAATCCAGGCTCTGATATTGTTCAAGAAGCTACACCCTGGGCACCGGAAGAAGGAGATTGACAACTTCATTCAAAACGCTGTACGCTACCTTCAAGATATACAAATGCCCGATGGCTCTTGGTACGGTAACTGGGGAGTTTGCTTTACGTATGGTTGCTGGTTCGCACTTGGCGGTCTGGTGGCTGCCGCCAAAACTTTTAACAACTGCGCAGCCATTCGCAAAAGCGTACATTTCCTTTTGAATATTCAGATGCCCGATGGTGGTTGGGGAGAGAGCTACCTCTGCTGCCCGAGTAAGGTAATTTCGATTTTATTCTCCATCCACTTGAACTGTTTATTTAATAACTTTATACCATTTTTATTTGCGCTCACTGGTGGGTGTGGGTGTGGGTGTGGGTGCGGCTGCATTACTAGAAATATGTGCCCCTTGAAGGAAAGCGCTCCAATTTGGTTCAAACAGCGTGGGCTATGATGGCCCTCATTCATTCAGGACAGGTTTGTAGGCTTGAATCTTTTTAAGATGTTTAATTTAAGTAGCATTTATGTCCAGTTATGGAAATTTGAAATAAATGATGGTTCCTTTCCCAAATATACACTGAACAGGCGGAAAGGGACCCTACACCTCTTCACCGTGCAGCTAAGCTGTTAATAAACTCGCAAACCGAAGACGGAGATTTTCCTCAACAGGAAATAACTGGTGTTTTCATGAAGAACTGTATGTTACATTATTCAGCTTACAGAAACATATATCCGCTATGGGCTTTGGCTGAATACAGCAAACGAGTCAAATTGGCTTCTACTTCCCCTTAGTTTTATAAATATGCTCTTTTCTTGTACCCTCTTTCGGATTTTGATAAATATGATTTAGCACGTGCCTCCAGTAATTCCTATATATTTCTTCCACCGCTGGAACCGTTGAGTTGAATAAGTTTAAATTATCTGTCCCCAAAAAAGTTAGGAATGAACACGGTTAAATTAAATCAAATTATAGGTACAATAATGAATTAATAAAAGCCAACAAAATAGTAATAATAAAAAATTAAGAATTTGTGGAGGAAGATTGGAATTAAGTAGAGAATTGGTGTGCAGAGAAGAAAAAGAAAGAGTATGAATGTCAAGGGTTCTTGATCTTGATCCTTAATTTGCGCGCAATTTGTAAGGCTCTGGGATGGAGCACCCCCCTGTTGTTATTGTTGTTGCACTGTTCTACCTCGACCCAGTTGATGAGCTTGAGTAATACAGACTGAGGAACTTTCCTCACATCCTCGTCCCCCGCTCCCTTGCTCTTCTTCATGCCCGCTTCCAATGCTTTCTCTATGAACTCCATAAACCACTTTCCAGCTTCCCTTTCAATCTCCTTTCCCAGTTTGATTGTGTCGCTCAAGCTACTACTGCTGGACCATGATGGCATTGCCATTGCCATTGCCATAGGTGGCGGCTTCTGATTTTCATCATTCTCACCAACAGATGTTGATGTTGATGTTGATGATGATGACGCTTTCTGCTCCCTCGGCATCACGACTTTCCCAAAGTTGGTCTTTATCCTCTGCTCGCTTCTCTCCGGACAAGCACAAGCCGTCACTGACTTGTACAACCCACACCTTTTTTTGGATAAACTTGATTCAGGATTGCTGGAGTTGGGTGTGATCTCACTTAGTATGGAGGAGGAGGGAGATTCTTGTTCCTGCTGCTGTTGTTGCTTTATGAAATTCTGGTTCTGAGCCAGTTCAGTAGCGGCTTGAACCGACACCATATCACTCACTGCCTGCATGATTTGCTGGTGGAATTCAAGGAACTCGTCGAAACAGTTGGCAGGAGCGTCGGCTCTAGCTGATTTACTCAACCTAGAAAGCATCCTACATACATACAACAAAATATCCATCTTATCTTAGAGCAAGTCAGTGATGAGAGTGGGTGAAAGTGCGAGTGGGTGTACCTGAGGGATCTCACTAAAGCGTCCGTGGCAGTAGCCCCTCTCAAGGATTGGAGGGCAATCTTCTGCGCTGTATCTCTCTGCTGCACAGCTTCCTGATAAACGTTGTTTGTTATCATAAGATGATGCATTATTAGGATTTAGGAGCACCATCAACCAACTGGAATTCAGAAGGAATTAATTTTCGTTCATTCACCTTGCCTAATATGCTGAGTTTTCCTGGTAAGTTGACGGGAAGAATGGTGCCGCTATCATCAGAGTCTGAAGGGCCATACTGAGAACTATTCAGCATGGGGGAGGCATCAATCCTGGAGGTCCTTTGATTCCGCAGACTTGGAGGTGGAGTGGTGCTCTTCTTTGCTGCAACAACAAGCCAGCCAAAGAAAGTGATGAGATGAAAATGAAGATAGATAATATGTTTGAGAGGCCAACAGATAACACTCAACAGGCAACAGCAGCGCTTGAAAGTTTAACATTTTGTATACCTACAACTGAGTTGAAGGAAGCTGGTGATGAAATCCTTGGATCTCGCTCGCACACGCTCTTGCTTCTAGGGAATTTGGAAATGGATGCACAGCTTTTCCTAAGAAATGAAGGAGTAGGGCTTTCAATTTTAGCCAACAGCCCACCACCAAAGGAAGACCGGATTCCGCTTTTTCCCTTAACCATGGGAGACATGATTCGCTCCTTCACGGGCGTACACTGGTCAAAGTCCAGGGGAACGGGCTTCAGAATCATGGGTGAAGAATACCCATCTCCATGGATCATCCCTGTTCCCCAAGAACCCCGCCTCGGAACCGACCCCTTTGCCTTGGACTTTTCATCACAATTCTCCCCTTTCTCTCTCAAACCCATCAGAGGTTCTGGTGTTCCCACCAGAGGGTGTCGCCCAGGGAGTGGCTTTGCGCCTTTCACCGCTGGGACGGGGGACCCAGGTTCCAATTTATCCACGTAAATAAACTGACCTAGCTGTATTTTGTTGCTCAAAACGAAATCACCTTGATCCGAAGGCAGACTCACGTAGATCGAGTGCGAAGAATCCGACACCTTGATATAGAATCCATGCTTTGGCCACAGGTTCTTCTCGTCCAGATCTGCAGGCACAATGTCCGTAACCTGTAACAGGGAGCTGCGGTGATCGCTCGTGGGTTTCACCCCCGAACTCATTCCATCTAGAAGCTTTACCAGAACTCCTGGTGCCAGAGTCGCCATTAAAAGAACTTCAAAGAAATAAAGAACGACTCAATGTTCCAGATTCTTTTACTTCAAATCCCAATTACAATTCAATATTTTCGACTTCTCTCACTTTCTTTCATGGACGAGAATGATGGAAGTGGCCGTTGGCAACGGAAGGCCATACAGGAAAAAGCCCAACTTTTTTGAATTTCGGACTTTGTAACGTTACAAAACGGTCAAAAGGGGACCCATCAACCTCGTTGTAAATTTATAATTTCGAAATAATTCTCAACACGGTTTTGTTTTTATTAAATACTTTTGTTTCAAATTATAAAAATTTTAGGTTAAATTAAATAAAAATATTTTTAAATACTCTTAAAGTTGAACCAGTCTAACTAAAAAAAAAATTGAAGTATTCAATAACTATGGAATACGTAAGTACCATTTTTCTCACATCTAACCGTGCAAAATTGTTCGATGCAATGTGACCTCAACCAAGAATTTCTCTTGTTTTGGACTCAAAGTAGCAGCCCATAAAGTGGGGAATGGATAGATTTAGAGATAGAGGGAGAGAGAGAGAGAGTCACAACAAGCGTGTGAGCTGTCTCATGGAATTTCCCTCGCAACACAACAAGGCAATGGAAGCACATAGATATGGGCACAGGACCATTCTTTCGCAGTTAACAGTACCATTCTTTGGCTAAACCTAAAACAAATTAGAAACAGAAAATAAAAGCATGTTCTAATGACGTGGAGGTGGCGGCTAAACATTTTTTAAACGACACCCATACCCTCCCCCCTTGCGGCGACAGATCAGTCGGCCACAGTCCACGTCATGTCGTTCTCGAAGATCCAGTGGCACACCTCCACCCGACCGGGGGCGGACCCGAGAGCTATGAACGCCCCGTGACTGGGACTCCAGGCTGAGGTGTCCAAGTGACAGATGGCAACTCCGTGGTTTATGTTGGCCGTAGACCTTGGATCCAGCAATTCCGCTTCGTACACTCGAACCTTGGGCACGGAGTGGCAGTAGTAGAGTAGGTAAGGGAATAGGCTCTGGTGGCAAGACACCGACTTCGTCACCTTCCCTCCCTCCACCGCTTTCACCGCCCCTATCATTATGTTCCCCTTCGACCCCTTCGTGTTCTCCGTCGCCCGGACCACCACGTTCCGCCCCAGCACCGACGTGGCGAAGTCTAGCATATCCTCCACCGACCCCACGCACCGCTTTGTCTCCCCGGCACTCGGCGCCCTCTCGCACTCCCTGAGCGTCTCCGTCATCATAGTCTCCATCGACGAATTATCCTCGGCGTGGAATATCTTCTTCATCACTCCCAGTTTCGAACTCGAGAAGGGTAACTTGGATAGAATAGATCGGGGCAGGAACGACCTCTTCGGCATTTTATCCTTGATGTCCGGCATAGCCATCACCGTCCCCTTCCTCAGCATTGACTCGCGGAAGAACTTCCCGGGCTCTACCCACCTCTGCGCCAAACTCCCGTTCACCGACATTTTCGCACCACCGGAGCTCACATTGCTGTACTGGGCAAAACTAATCCCCCGTTTCGCGTAATCTTTGAACGTTGTATTCACCCCATAGATCTTGAATCCCACGCTTTGCGCATTCCCATTCTGTCCATAACCACTAAACTTGTCCGAACCCACATTGGCGGATTTCCCATAATTTGCGAAATTGACCTTCGCCGAGTTCGAGTTCTTGGAGTAGGATTGAAATGAATCGTCCCCCACATTCGCCTGGTCTCTGTAACTAGAGAAGCTTTCAATCGCTCCGTTCCCACCCTCCCCATAGCTCCTGAAGTTGTTCTGTGGGTCGTTTTGCTCGTTACCGTAATTGGTGAATGTGTCGTTAGCGCCATTTCCGTCGGACCCATAGCTTGAAAACCCAGAGCCTATTACGTTTGCGTTGGTCCCGTAGGCAGAGAACTCGTTGGGACCCCCATTTCCTCGTTTTCCATAGTTGGCAAACGACTGATCTCCTGCGTTTGCGTTCTCGCTGTAGCTCTTAAAGACTTGAGATCGTCCAGTGGCATCGGTGGAGTAGCTGGTAAATCGGAGATTGGGGACATTGGTGGATTGTTCGTAGGTTGTGAACTTGCCGTTACCTCCTATGGCTTTGGAGGCGTAAGTGTTAAAACCCTGGTCGGGGACGTTGGTGTCGATGCCATAGGTCGAAAATCGGTCGGCGTGGCTCAAGGCGCCGTGGCTGTAGCGCCGGAAGGAATCGACGAGGATATTTTCATCATTGGAATAGTTCTTGAAGGAGTCGATGCCACCAGCTCTTTTGGAGCCGTAAGTGGTGAAGTTCCTATTGGAATAGACAGCAAAGTTGGAGTCCTTGTTGTGCTTGGCCAAAGAAGGGGCTAAATCGGGGAAGCAGAGCAAATTTGCGGCGGAGCAGAACTGAGGGAGGCGGGAGGAGAGTGTGTTTTGGGCTGCGAGTTTGGCGAAGGCCGCGGACTGCACTGCCGTCAAGGGAGACGCCTTGGAGAAGAGAAAAGTGGGTTTTGGCAAATCATTCCGGACCTCCTTGTTCCAATAACGACTCAGAAAAGCTCTTGGGGTAAAGGGGTTGTCCTCGTCGCCAGCCGCGGGAACCTTTTTCCGCACGCCCACATAAACCACACACAAATTACAATTTACAATTTACAGTTACAGGGGATAAAAACTGAAGTAATGAGAAATAAAGAGTGAAGTGGAGATGGAAATTGACTTACATTGAAAGCCGAAAGCAAGAAGATAGAGAGATAGAGAGGAACCAGAAGGGGCGCGGGTAATCTGTGCATTTCTGTTTTGGGTTTTGTTGGTTGGGTTGTATGCAGAAATTTATAGTGGTTTCACGCGGCCGAAAAGTTCAATTTTATCACTGCCTTTCTTTTATTTTTTGGATTTATGTTGAGATTCTATGGCCTTTTTCCGAATTTCAACCCAACCTAGACGCGTTTACAAGTGCTTTTTAGAGCTGCAATACCAATTCTTCAATGTATTTGATTCTAACTTTGGGTGGATCCTCATTTTATTATTTAAATACGCAACCATTAATGGTTCATTTTCTTAACTTATGCACGGACCTAGTATTGGACTGTTTTAATATTGGTCCCCAGAGAGTTGAGAATATTCTGGCATGAGAGAACATTTAAGGATGACACGGAGTAAGAAGTAACTGTGCGAGAGGGAATTTATTTTAGTTAGGACCCAAGAGGAAGGAAGGAAGGAAAAAATGATACATAGATTACTTGGAAGAAAAAGAGAAACACAGAGGAAGATAAAGTTGATAGTGGAGTACAGACAAGGGGTAGTTTCAGAAGCCGCGTTTTAAAGCGCACGTGTCGGGCTTTGATCGGTTACACACCGCTTTCGAAGTTGGGGTTATTGTTAATTTTGTTTTTCGTTAAGAAAAAGAGGAACGAATAGAAATGAAGTATCCAACTTCAAAAAATGATCTGCGTTGTGTTGGACACCACAGCGACAAAGCTCCTGATAGTCCTCTTGGTTAACTCCTTGCAATTCTCCCCTTTTTGTATCGTCAACAACCATGGAATATCATAATTCCAGAACCAAGCTAATTTGTATTAGTATTTTGTGCAAGTGTATGTATCTAATGATTCAAACTCGTGGGCATCGTTATTTGCTACCCACTTTTTCCTTTCTTTTCTTTTCTTTTTCCTTTTTTCCTTTTTTCCTTCTCTCTTTTATTATTTAAGAGAGAAAAAACTTTTACATTTTCCTTTTACTCCATTTCAATTCAGATTATGTACCACTGGTTTTAAGAAAATAATAACGCTGGAAAAATGCATGTGGAGTCATTGTCGACAAGTGTACTATTTTTGCCATTTCCCATTTTAAAACTGTTGGTTCCGATGTAATTGGGATTTAATTTAGAAATGGAATTATGGGTCGCAGTCAACTTGTTTAAGTCAACGTCAAGAACAGGGGATTGGGATAAGGAATAAGGCAAGTAAATTAAAGAAGGAAAATGATTTAAAGCTGTGGTGAAACGAACGGTGGTGATGATGCCATCATTTCTCCTCTTTCTAAAAAGAATTAATGAGAGAAGAATATTTGGGACAGATCATAGCAATACTATAATTTCAGCAATTTAATCGTGAAAGTTTTGTAATGTAAAGGTATGTGCATTTTACAATATTAAAGGTGTTAATCGGAAATTTTGTAAGTGTAGGAAGTGATTAATGTGATAACGTGTACTAACACTTGACACGTCTACAAAATGCGTCTAAAAAGAAAAAAAAAAGAAGAAGAAAGAAAATGCGGTTGGGTTGGCTGCCACTATCCTTCACCCACATGTCTAAAGCTCCATAAATACAAGCGCTCATTAATAGCAAATGCTGGATGAAGCATTTTGGTTGGTAGTGACCCATTTGGATTCATTCCCCACAGTTACAATTCATTAAAACGCCTTTATATATTACCTAGAGAAGTACAGAGCTACATTAACTACATGCAAGTAGACCTCATTTCGATTCAAAAAAATGGAATGTCTTCTATTATAGGAGAAGACATCTGAATTGGGCTCCCATTTTTGTGAAATAATCCCAATCAAATTGCAAATTCTCCTGTTTTTGCAGACTCCTCCAACTACAGCTACAACTATACGACCACAACGCCGCTGCTCGCATCATAATTGCCATACACTTTCAAAGTTTCTATTCCCCAGCAAAGTGTATCTCAGTTAGTGATCCTCTCTCATCGTTTAAACCATAACTTGCGTCACTCCAAATTCGCTTTGGATTATTCCAACTAAAGCCTTTACTTTAAAAAAAAAAATGAATAAAAAGGTGTGCAGATGATAATGCAGTACTCTTTTCAGAATGCTGGTCGCCAAGTATAATGTCGTGTCCTTCATAAAGTTTCCAGCTTTGGATCCCAATTTTTTTCTTTGCTTCTCAGTGGATCAGGAAGAGTGCAATTTCAAAAAAGTCGGTTCACCCACTTCATAACAATGTTTTACTGAATTCCACAGGCTGGGTTCGTAAAAGAGCATATGACGCTTGCAAAAAAAAATATGCCCATTTCCAACTTTTGCTAATTGCGTATGATGACAAACAAAAAGTATGTGTGTATGGGTTACATTTGTGTTTATCTTATTTTTAATTGGTACAATGATCGTATTGCACTAACTACATGGTGTTCTGTACAAAGGAAGTAAAGAGGCGCGATGGTAGAACTGGGGAGCTTTCAAATCAAGTTTACTGCATTCAGAAGCGTGTATTGCTTTAGTAGCTTTAACTTTGTTCCCACAAAATAACCTTTCAGAGCATGCTTGCACATGCTTGTGCCTTTCCCTTGCTCACCGGCACAACACTCCTTTCTCCCAAAAAGTAGAGCACATGATTAATTTCGTTTCTGATCGAGCTCCAGCATTCATTGTGGCCTGAATCAAGTAGTTGAAGATAAATGTAGCCTCCTCATCCTCGAGGGATTGGATTCAGAATTGTAAAAAGAAAACCCCACCAGCTAGTGCTATCATATTTTTATTGTTGAAGAAGCCCATCGTGATCGCGTTGGAAATGGAAGCCACCAATAACAAAAGGGAAGAAGAGCACCCATGGCGTAGTGGATGGGATAGTGGGAATAACAATAATGGCCGTACGGCCTCCCTCTGCTTTCATTTGGAATGCCATACAAGTAATTTGGCTCATAAACTATGATTACAACTTAAATGGCTAGCTTTTCATCCTCCAAAGTAGTAAGATTCATGGACGGGGACTCAGAGTAGGGCCAATCAGGGCTCGGGCATCAACCTTCCGGAAAGAAATGTGGGTGAAGTGAAAGGTCCTAGCACGATAGAGTATCAATAGATTTGACCAAAGAGTGCTGTGGTTTCGAGTAGAAATGTGATCATATCATATCCAAAAAATAGATCAAAGTAATAGAGGCGAGCAGACAGTCGCGGCTGGTCTATCAACATTTTCTAGATATCCAATCATTTGAATACTTTATGATCACGTTGGCGAACAGAGGTGTTTAAATAAAGAAACGAGGTAGTGATGATGAGTATGCATGACGTCAAAGAGACGCAATGCAATTAAATACTGCATATGATCTTCATTTTCCCCTTAATTTCATTCCACTGTATCAGTACGCTCTCTCTCTCTGGGCAGTGAACCACTGAATCACTGAATATTATTTATGTTGATTACATTTGATGCTTTGACCTTTTACTTTCACTGCTTACCCCAGATGGAAGCGTACGTGTGGATTGTGAAAGATTCCACTGCTTTCCTTATTATTACCTCTCTTTGCTGCGTGAAATGTACAATTTGGGATCCCAACTTGATCCTAAGATTTTATCACACAACATAAGACCTGCTGAAGCACATCATACAACACATACACGAACAAGGGCAACCTAAAACCGGAGACTGATATTTACTCGTGAAATCCTCACACTCGCAGGGTAATCAATCATTCAAGCATTGGATTTGAGTTCAAAAGCAGTTCAGTTGGCATGAACCTTGACTAATAAAAAAAAAACATAATTTAAAACCACGCAAGGCGCTACTCTTGTCATCATCTTATGATAATTTCAACATCATAAAACTGTGTCACAGCCAATAAAATACTTGCCAAATGAAAAGTAAAAAAAGCCGGCTAAGCCTTCTTCCATCAACTGCAGCCATTACCCACCTGTTTGTAAATCCCAACGGTTCTAACAATAAGCTGCGTGGATGAAAATCAACTTTCGTACGACTGGCTTCCAGAATTCTATTTCCTAATAATGAACTCGGTGAGCATTTTCAGTACCCCAAAGGAAACTTGTAATTTTGTAGCTTGATTGTTTTATTTTATGGTCAGGTTGCAGCAGGAAAGTGAACGCGATCACAAAATTCACTCTTCCACCACATTCACGAGTTCATATTCAATGAGTGAAAGATTGTTCTCTTCCTTAACAGTAAAACTTGCAGGCTCAGTAACTTCAACTCGGCCCCACCTGTCCACTGCAAGTCTCATTGATCCTTTGAACATGTCTATCTTAGCATTGCGCAGGATTATAGTGGCACCTTCTTTCATCAAGTCAACTACACAGAAGAAAGCAAAGAATTACGAGTACATGAGTTACGGAAACTTTAATTCCATTTATTAATTGCCAAAAGAAATATTAGTTCAAGTAAATAAATTGAACCGTGGCTACATGGACATTCAAAATTAAGATAAAATATACATAAAGGGCTGGTTAATTAAACCAGATTAAATTTTAGGGGTCAGTTGGAATTTAAAAAAAAAGCAAGGCACAGTAAACTTATAAAATTATCCTGAATGCTTGGAGTAAATTCTGGATGACGCTATTTACTAATCTCGTGAACAAAGATAGGCTATAGGTCAAATCACGGAGGGCTATATTTTTACAATAAGAGTTTGCCATACAAAAAATTTAATCCTAGCTCGTTCCTGCACCACCTGTTAGTCAAATCATGAACCTACTTCGCACAAAATTCCATTCTTGTTCACCTTTTTCATCGCCCATGCAGGAGGAATAGTTTTCATTGCAACTACACAATTACAAAGCTATGGCAACTAACCAGTTTTCCATTCAACTATTCACTTACAAACGAAATAGTAAGTGAATAATTGAAACCAGTGTTAATTTGTGTGTATTTGATAAACAACCTTCCTTGAACAGGATCTATTCTATAGGTTGTACATTAGTGTCCTTGAGTTCTAAAAACTGCAATTGTGCAACATCAAACCAAACACAACAATAAAGTATATGTAATACCTATTTCTCCTTCCTAACAAGAAACAGAAAAAGAAACTAGTTTGATAACTATTTCTTGCTTCCTATTTCTTTCTCTGTTATACCTCAAATTGAATATAGTATATGTAATACAGAAAACATACAGCATGCAATAAAACATATAAAAATAATTATCAAAACTTTACATTATAATTAAGTCCCAAAGCAAAATTGAAGCACAACAATAAAGTTGTATCTATCCTTCAACTGTTGTCCAAATTTGAATATCGTTTCTCACTCGCCATTCACCTTAAAACTTTGAAATATCATGTAAAAATAATATACTATATAGTAAAAAATGAAAAGTAATGGCTAAATATACAAATAAAATTATTTTAATTAAAATGTAAAATTTGTAATATCTATTCAAATCCCAAATCAAATTTAAAGTTCAAAAATTAAAATGTAAAATTTGTAATATCTATTCAAATCCCAAATCAAATTTAAAGTTCAAAAATTAAAATGTTTGTCTTAATTTTTTTTTAAAAAAATTGTTCTTCAAAAACTTAAGTTAGATGCAAGAGAAAGGCAAATATGTAAACAAGTGAACACGTTCACTTCGCTTTGGGAATTGGGATGCTTTAAGGCTGGAACCAAGATGAAAAGAGAAACATTAAAACAGAAACTTCTTTTTGGAATTCCCCAAACTCTTCATACTTTCGAGGAAACATTTCTTTAGATTTGGAAACGAGAAACAAAATCATTTGTCAAAAATGCATGTTTCTAAAACAAAATAGTAATAGGAACGAGAAATGAGAAATGAGAAACAAAAACGTTATCAAATGGCCCTGGATTCCTGAGTGATGGTAGTTCCTCCAAAAACAAGAAGCCAAAATTACTGGTTCAAGTAGGTTCCAGTAACTAGATGACTTTTAATATTGATAACAATTAGTTCTCATTCTCTTACTCCCTCACAGTCTACGATCTTTTGATCACAAAAGCATCTACACTTACTTTATATTACCAATAACATACAGTATTCTGAACTAACACTCAACAGAAAGCATAATCAGATCCAAACACAAAAATATAAAAATGTAGTCAATAGAAAAAAAGAAGCCACTGTAGAAACAACATTAACTACAGCTGATGGACCTTCCAGTACCAATCTCACTCATAAGATCAAAATCAAAATAATACACAGGAAGTTCATTCAAAATCTATTATTCTCAAGATTCAGCGTAAAGCTTATCCTTTCTAATGTTTAGTTTTAACTTTATCCAAAATCCGTCATGTAATTGAACTATTCAAGTCATTATCCAACTATGCGCCATTACACTGACCAATATATATAGCTGACAAAGTGATGAACTTATAGTTTTTAAAAGGTACTTTTAGTATGGGTGATTTATTTCAGTTGGATTTGCATTTCAACCTCCATATGTCCCAGTATTCAGTAAAAGAGTTTTTTTTTCCAGTGAAAAAGAAAGGGCCATGACAACTTTTAAGATAACAGAAAGCCTCCCTTTACGAAATCTTTACTAGTAGGAAGTTAATATATCAAAACAACCTTTACCTTTCAGAGTAATTGTGGATAGGGAGTGAGATCACACGATATAGAACAGTTATTAAAACTCTTCACAGCACCTCTTCAGTTGCATGTGGATTTAGAATGTACGCACAAAGAAGAAAATTGGCATGCTTCATACAAGATAAAATTACGTAAAATGGTGCAGGCTCAAATACTTTTGTAAGTTTACCTTGATCATTTCTGGCGGTAAATATGATCATTCCAGTTTCATCACCTACCAAGCATTCAGCAATTCGCATCTGACGGGCTTGAGGACCATCAGGACGACCCTTCTGCAATACCATCTTGGTATTCACAACCTTAACAGTAAGAGTATGCCCACTAGTGCCTGGCCGAAGTTGATCAACCTTGGTAAATACTGGTTTCCTCAGTCCAGGTTTGGATTCTGCCATTTCCCCGAATACCTAATCATGCCAATATACAAACAATAACAAAACAGTTAGACAATAGATTGCCATTGTGAATTTTTACCAAATGCCCATACCACCAGTAAACCACCAAGGTGGACAGGCTGGGATTGATAAAATAACCATGAAAAAATGATAAATAAATAAATTCCTCATTCAAAGAAACACAATAATTTCCTTAACCTATCACATTGACCACCAGGATAGTATAAATCTCAGGTACGGTGCCTATGAACCCACTCTCTCCAACCCTGTATATGACTACTAGGTCAACCAAAAGCAAAATGTAAAATATGTTGACATTAAATTTTAACCAAAAGCAAATTATCCACTTTGGCCCGTTACTCATCACCGTCAACCTCATGGTTTTAGAAAGCGTCTACTAGGGAGAGGTTTCCACACTCTTACAAGAAATACTTCGTTCCACTCTCCAACCAATCTGGAATCTCACAATCCACCCTCCTTGGGGGCCTAGTGTCCTCGTTGGCACTCCACCCAGTGTCTGGCTCTAATACCATTAGTAATAGCCAAAGTCTATCGTTACGTATCGCCGCCAACTTCACAGTTTTAAAACGCATCTACTAGGAAGAGGCTTCCACACCCTGATAAGGAATGTTTCATCCCCCTCTCCAACCAATATGGGATCTCACAGATGGTTGCTCCATTATGCAATCTTCTACTTTATGTCTTAAAAATTGAAGATAATATAGCAACTCTGTCAGATTTAAATCAAATGAACCAGAGTCTAGAAGATAAACAAGTGTTAATAACTAGAATTTCAAACCAGAACATTACTGTTTTCACGCTCAACCACATTTGGTGCATAGATTCCTCGAATAACATCTTGTTTGTTCTCTTAATTTATCGTCAATATCATTTTCTTGGTTAACTTCAAATCTTCTAAACCCTCGTCCCACCAACAAATAGACCTCAAGCAGGCACTCCAATTACAACACCCTTAATCGCTTGAGAGCATTTAAGCTATTAATCGCTTAAACACAAATACTAATATTACATCCAAGGATATACATAGTTGTTCAGAACTTTTCTTTTCGAAGACTTTTCGTGAATCAAATGAAAGATAATGAAACTACTGTGGCCAAATGTGGGACTAAAAGAAAAACGAAAATCAGCTATAAATCAACAAACTTAATGTTCAGAGAGTGTTTCTCGTCACAATCTCC